CGCGCCCGGCGCCCGAGGTCTGCGGCGCCCGCGGGCGGCGGGGAGGGGGCGGGGCCGGGCACCCGCGGCGGGCGCACTCGGGGGCGGCGGGCGAAGGCGCGCTTACCTGCAGCAGCCAGTGGCCGGTCTCTCCGATGAGCGGGAAGCCCATGGAGCCCTTGGGGATGGGCAGCTTGCAGCTCTTGTCGCGGGTGGCGGCCCAGCGCAGCTGCCACAGCTGCTGCGACACGGCCAGCAGCAGCGTCACGGACACCAGGCACGCGGCGAGGGTGGCCAGCGCCGACACCAGCTCCAAGCCCTCAAAGAGCATGTTGGCGGCCACTCGGGGGATTGGCTGCGCGGCCGGGCCGGGAGGGGAGGGCCGGACCGGGGCGGGGGGAGGGGAGGCTGCCGCGAGGGTCCTGGCGCCCCTCGGCGAGACCCGGCACAGAGGGGCCGAGGGTCGGGGCTGGAGCTGCGAGGAGGTCGGAGAGAGGGAGGAAGAGAGCGCCCGGGAGAAGAGACTCAGGCAACTCGAGGTGCGACTTGTTTGTTTGTTTGTTTGTCCCTGTACACGGGCCCGGGGCCGCCCTGGGGAGTCGAGATGGAGCTGGGTCAAGCTGGCGGGCTTGCTCTCCCTGCAACCATCACGCTCGAAAAACTTTGGAAAACTTTATCCACCAGGAGTCTCCCGAAAGCCCCTTCTCTGCTCAAAGCGAGGGGGCAAAAAGAAGGGGAAGCGAGACTAGCGGCGAGTGAGGTCAATTTATCAAAAGTATGCCTGCAAAATTCCCAGGTGCACAAAAAGGGGGGCCCGCAGTCCAAAAATTCCAACGAACCCAGAAAGTCCGGGGGCCTGGGAGAAGGCTCCCCGGAGGAGGCGGGCGCGGTGGGCCGAGGCGGGCGGGCGAGCGGGTCGGCGGCGGCGGCGGGAGGGGGCGCGGGGTGGGGCCGGGAGGAGTGCAAGCCCCGCGCCGGCTAGCCAGCAATTAGGAAAAGGCAGGCCGTCCCGGACGCGGTCTCTCGGCTCTGGAGTTGCTGCTGGGGAGAAGAAAAAAAAGATGAAGGGGAAAAGAAAGAAAGAGAGAGAGAGAGAGAGGCGAAGGGGATGGAGAGGGAGCGGGAGGCCGGACTCCGGGCCGGTGGTTTGAAAAGCGTCTCTCAATCTGATTTGATCCCCGGCGCGGCGATGCGCGTGTTTATATAGAGGCGGGAGCGGCGTGGGCGCGCGGACAGCTCCCGCGCGCGCTCCCCGGCGGGAGGCGTGGTGAGAGGCCGCGCGTGTGCGCTCCGGCCCCGCCCGCCGGACCCACTTGTGGGCGCCTCGGGATCAAACTCAGTTCACCTCGCGCCTTGCGTCCTTCTCGCCCGCGGCTCGCCGAGTCCAGCACCTACGGGTGGAGGAGAGGGAACACGCGCGCGCACACACACACACTTATCACACACACATGCGCGCGCACCACACAAACACACACGCGCGCGCCCGGGGTGCGCACCCTCTTGGGGCCGGTTTGGCCTCTGGGCTACTTCCCTCTCGCTTTCTCCCTCCTGGGTCCCCGCACCCACCCTCCGGCTCCCTGCGGTCCCCGAGGACGGTCCCCGTCGGGCTCGTGCCTCCCTCCGTTGGGGTGCCAGTCTCTGCTGCGCTCCATCGCGGACCCCCACGCTCGTCCCCTCCTAACTGCCTCGTCCAGCCGGGGCCCTCACTCCTGACGCGGCGGCCACAGGCCTCCGCGGTCCGCACGGCCCCTGCCCTGCAGTGCCTGGACGCTGTGCCGTCCCCGCGCGGCCCGGGCTACCCGCGCGAGGCTGCTCCTCTCCAGCACCTCGCAGGCCCCCACCGCGGCCACCAGCACGCACACACTCGCACGCGCACACACCACTCAGCCAGCCTCGCCCTCATTAACTGCAGTGCAGGTCCGGGAGCGTCCAGCGCCTCAAACAAAGCGGTGGCCCCCGCACGGAGGCCTCAGGAGTCCTGCACTGACGTTCCCGGATCCGTGTGAATAAGCAGACCCGTCTGCGAGCACGGCCACCTCGCAGCTCGCCACAGGGAGCCCAGGGCGCCGGTGTGAGGGGTGAGTGTGGCTCCCAGCCGCCCGCACCTGCGTGTGCCCCCGCCCGGCGTCGCCCCGACGCCCCGACGCTAGTGGAGAGAAGGGAGTTTGGGAATCTCTCCACAGCCTCACGCGGCAGAGCAGCCACGGTTCTGCCTGTTACATGGTTTCCCCTGCGAGCCCCCGTCGGAACTGTGCACACCAGCCGGGATATCGGCCTGAGTCGTCCGGGGCCCTCCCTATCCAGTGCCTCTGGGCCTCCCCAGCCCTCGGGTCTTCTCCTTCCACTCCCTACTCCCGGAGCAAATAGTAAGGGTGACAGTAAATCATCCCAGACCCCCACCTGTGGTTTAGGGTGCTGGCCGTGTAAACAGAGCTACTCCACCCTACCCTGCTAACAGTCCCCTGCATGCAGTATGGGACCTGCTTTGGAGCTCACTAGCAGAAAATGCGTGAGAGCGTGTAAAATGCGCGCCCGAGTGCTGTCCCTCGCCAGGAGAGCGCTGCCACCGGGGTTGACCGGGCCCGGGGAGCTCTGCCAGCCCAGCTCCGGAGCTAGCGCTGGGTCAGCTCCGCGCTCACTCTCTGCCCTGGAACCCCACCTGGTGGATAGTTTTAGTACTACAGCTGCAGGGGACGCCAGCCCTGCTTCTCGATTGTCTTTTCCTAGAAGAAACCCGGCTTCTAAGAGCCAGCTTGGTGGCATTCCTAGGGCTTCAGTATAAGAACCCTTAGGCTGCCCATCCCCACAGGACACTTGGAGCTGGGACACTAAGTAAGTCCTGTTAGGACTACTGTGCCCCCAGAAATAGAGAGCTGAGGAGTGTTTGCGTAGGAGAAATTTTATTTACAGGACTGCTTTTACAGCTTTTACAGGACTACTATTTACAGCCAAGACCAGTGAGGCCAGTGTTACTCCTGTCTCCCTGGGAGGATGGCAGAGTATGGCTGGGAGGGTTTGGGGGGGCCTGATGTCTTGAAGGGCCCTGTGAATATTACCAGGTTCCCAGGAGTACCTCCTTTCAGGTGATGAAACAGGCAAAATGACCTTAAGGGAAAACCCAGCACAGGACCATCATCTGTGGGCAGAGGGACACGAACACAGCCACATGGAGGAACACAGCAAAGCTGCAGGGAAGTGGGTACTGAAGCTGTACCAGGGCATACACACGAGATCCTTGTTCAAGGCCAGAGAAGGACCGTTTCTACACCACCAAAGGAAAGCACAGGATGTGCCCATCTTTCCCAGGACCGTCCTCTCCTTGCCCCTCCCCCCTTGGCTTTAGGGACTCTTTTGCTCTCCTCTGTGTGGCCTTTCTTCCCACTCAAGCATGGTGTGGGAGGAGAGAGGGAACGTGGAGCAAATCCTAACTCCTTAGGAACTGCCAAGTCCAGTCCTGGGGAATGTGCACAGGGACACAGCCCCGCAGCAACAGCTGCAGCACTTCCTAGTGGGACACACCCTTCTTCAAGGCCCAGTGAGCACCGAGGAGGGGACAGGAGGGGTGCACACAGCTTCTTGGAGGTGCTGTGGGTGAACTGGAATTCTGCATCTGACAGAACTTGCACAAAAGCTAGCTAGCCGCACAGAGGGAGGCTGAGGGCCACCTTTGCTGGCCACACTCACAGGATGGACAGTCTGTTAGTGCCCAGGGTGGACTTCTGATGCCCATGCCAGATGAAGGCTTGGTCTACAATCTTGCCCTAAAGCAAATCTTTGAGCAGATTAACTCTTCATCCTGGTCACGGAGACACACTGACTGGCTTCAGCTGTCACTCTGTGTGGACAAGCATTCCTGGGCTCACTTTCCGCTGCAGAGTCCAGCAGCTCCCTTACGAACTAAGCTACCTCTCAGCCCATGAGGCTTCCGGGCAGGCTGGGGCTCTAGGTCGGAATGCCCCTGCCCTCTAGAGCTTGGAATGATGTGCTTGTCCCAGACGCCACCTCTCCCCACCCGGGCCGGTGCTGCTAATCTCAGCCATGCTCACAAGCCCTTTCCACAGCCCAGGGACAGCTGGAGCTCCACCTCTTGCCGGCAGGACAGGGAAACCTGGATTTGGCTAGCATCCCCAGAGCTCTCTGGGCGCTTAGAAATCAGCTAGAGCAGGCTGGGACCTCAGTCACAGGACACTGTGTCAAGGGAAGTTCGGCCTGGGTGACATTTGCAAGGCTTGGTAGATGGGCCTGAGAGGATATGGAGGGTAGGCCTTGGGTACTGTTGAAGCCTGAGGACACCAAGGCAAATTCCCACGGGGCTCAAGAAATCCCTGCAGGGGCACAGATCTGTCTCAAGGCCCCCTCCTAAGGACGTATTGCTACCGGGATGCCTACATGTCCCCAGCTTCCTACACACCAAATCTGAGAACAGCACCCCTTCTACACCGTTCTCTGTGCACATCCCTGATTATCCAACAACCCCCACCCGCACACTGCACACTGTGCTGCAAGGTGCCGCTGTCTTTAGAGGGATCTGTATATCTGCCTGAGGAGATAACTGCCGTTCTGCTCTGTTTCCTTCCCTGCGAACAGAAACACATCTGAGTTGGGACACTCGTCTGTTGAATGGAAGAAATCCTCCATTTTATGCTCAATTTGCATAGTTTGGACCCCGATATATTTTCCTTGGTTGATGCTTCAATTACTTCACCCCCAAACCTTTCATTTCTCTAGCCAGAGACGAGTGAAGAGGGCAACCAGAGGAAAGTGGGCAGGTGGGAACAAAGAGACCAGGCAATGTTGTATGGGAAGCATGCCTGGGCACTCACAGAACGACTGGGTTCACTCAGTGTCTCCCAGCTGTCTGCAAGAGCAGGAGTGGTAAGCCACCCCAGAGTTCTTTCTGCCTGCCCCGCTGGCCCCAAAGAGCCCTGGGAAAGCTTATCACACTCTTCCCCCTCCTCCAGGGTCCCAGACTGGCTCTGTTCTGTTCTGAGGTCCCTCCACAGCCCGAGTCTCTTGCCTGTAGAAGCCCCGGAGCAGCAGGCTCGTCCCTGGCCCTTTGGAGGAGCTTGGGTGGGGTGAAGCCCGCAGATGAGAAGTGGTCCTGCTGCAGCCCTGGATTTCTGTCCTTCCGCCACTGTTCCCTCCCTGCCTCTGTGCTCTCCTCCAGAATGGGTGCGGCAAGGCCAGTGGTTGCCCTCTGGTGCCCAGAAACTCAAGGACAGGTTAGAGGACATTGCATGAGAGAGAAAGGGCCTGGACTGCCGCTGTCCAAGATGATGTGAAAGCACCTTCAGTGTTAGGGATCGCCTCTCTAGAGCTGGCAGAACTGAACGCCCCACTCCTCAGCAGCCTCTTCAAAACTACCACCTGCTTGAACCCCACCAGCCCCCTGCTTCTTTGGAGGAGGCTTCCTGTTGGTCACTGCTACCAAGCCCAAGGTACATTCAGTTTCTGCCGATTTATCCCTCGGGCCTTTCTTCCTCTCTCTCTCTCTCTCTCTCTCTCTCTCTCTCTCTTTCTCTTTCTTCTTCTTCTTCTCTGTCCCTTATGGGAGATCTGCCCCACCCTGCATC